CTGGTTCTCAGTATCTTGAAGTTCAACTGATCTGGTCAAATCCCTTAACCTAAATGGGAACTAAGGGCATGCTAATTCATAGATTCCCAGCATCATCATCAGAAAACCCACACCTGTCACACAGAACAATACCAAGCTTGTTAACATAGCTCCGTGTAGTATTTAACATGAAAAATCTCATTAAATCCACTGGTACCAGCAACTTAAAGCAAGGAAACAAAGAATTACTGTGCATGACCACAGCTACACTTCAGTTATCAGCATGCTTTTCCTCCACTTAGTTCTCATGGTTCCACCCTTATTTCTAATAACTAGCATGCAGCCTAAAATTCAGCCACAGTCCTGAAGTCATCTGTCTGCTTCCAGATTCCGGTTCTGTAGTGTAGCCATCTAAGTGCTTATTTGGACACTTGGGACTACCTCATATCTTGAAGTGCAGCAAATTGTTCACTCTGCCTGTACTGTAGTCAAAGGTTTTACTGCAGCTTGGATAAGAATACTGTACAGCCAAAGGCTCATCAAGCCCAGTATCCTGTCTCCTGGTTTTGGTCAGGCTTACGTTTAGGGAGGAGTAACAAGAATAACACAGCCATGCATGATACTTTTCCCCTAGTATTAACTCAGCTTACAATCACCTGTAGCTGAAAGACTTCCTGAAATACAGTTCACAGTTATATCACTTAATCTAACTTGCAGTGAAGAGAGCTAGGCGTGTACTTTGTGGCGAATGTGTGCCACTTGTTGACCTGCACTGAACTCTTAGGTGTCTTTATTCATATTGGTACTCTCCTGGTGCAGATATGCATGCACACTTCTCAGTCCCATCTCCTTTACAAGACAGACAGATACCCCCAGTCAATAGGGCTTGTTTGTGAGATACCAGACTCTCACCTCAGTCCTCTTGAAAAATTATGTGTCTTCTACTCTTACAAAGGTTGTTCTCTTCTTCCTGACCTCCATGTCCTAACCTGTCTGAACCTCTGCTTGCACCTCTGCCTCTCTCTCCAAATACTATCCTGTCCAGAGCTAATCACGTTTTCTACTATTGTAAGCATCTCTCTTTCATGTTAAAGAGCTTTCATATAAAACAAGGGCTAAGCTTTAGTTTGGTCTGGTAGGACAATAAAGTCCACATAAATCCATGAAATGAAAATTTCCAAGTTTGATGTTTATTTTTGTTCTTTAAATACGTCCCTTCAATCTGTTGCTATGCATTCTTCAACACTTGTAGAAGGTAAAACAATTCCTATGTTAAAGACTGCCCAATGTGAATTGCTTTACTCATACCTGCAGTACAGTTAATTTTTGTATGTGACATCTGTGTATAGGCTACAGTGTGAAATTTCACCAGAGATTAAAGAAATATATCACATCTAGTTGGCTTTGCAGGTAGAATTAACAGAATGTATTTTGCTTAGGAATTGTCTGAGTGGGATGCAAAGCTCACTTGACATAAATGAGTAATTTTTGTGCAAACTCTAGCATACTAGAGACCATGAGTAGTCAGATCCTGTCACGTAACCCATGAAAAATTCTGCTATGTTATTCCCTAATGCAATGTTGATATTCTGTACCAAATCAGAGGGAAGTGCCACTTAATCATCAGCATTGTATCTGGCATACCACTGGCTTCCTTGAAGGTCATTCTTCTGATTAGTCTATCTTGTGTGATACTGAGAGGTTTGAAAAGATCACAGCCAAAACTTGACTGATTGCCACTAAGCTAATAGTTCTACTGGAGACATTTCTACATGGAAAACAAGAATACAAACAATTTTAAAACTTTTTACAATTTTTGTGGTTGATTCTTCTTGTGCAGGGAGAATTTAAAGTGTCTGAGCGATACATCACCATGAGTGACCTGACAGCTGCCTTGGAAGAGAACAGAGTAAAGGAGATGTTTGGTGCTGGAACAGCTTGTATTGTGTGTCCTATCTCTAAAATTTTATATAAGGGCAAGGTAAGAAAATGTGTATTTTTTTTTTCTTTTTCCTTTCCTTCTTTCTTCAGAATGTTGTTGTAATTAATTGGAGCTAAAGCAAAAAAAAAGTGAGATAGAAAAGGAGTGCTGCCAGAGGCTCCTGGAAAGATGAGCAGTGTCAGTATGTTGTTTCCTAAGTGAGTTACTGCTGTGTTGTCAGAAAAGAACCTTCCCTCTGGTCTCCTGGGGTTTTTTAATACTTAAAATCATAAAATCTCAATTCCTGGGAAAAGGAAAAAAAAGTAGTTCCCAGCTCCCAGCCTGTTTGAAAACAGAAAAATACATTCTCTTATGTTTCTTTTATTGGACATTTTTTCCAAAGTTAAGGCACCTGGGAAAGGTGAGGAGAGGAAAGACTTTCACTGGGAACCAAATTTCTGAGCCACTGCATACTTTCCTTCTCAAGTTCATCTCCTCTTCACCCCTCATTTCAGGGAGCCCAGCTGTGATAGAAGAGCTGTTGCAGGAGGGTGCACAGCTGCTTCCACTTACTGTATACCATATGGGAGATTTCTCCTGCACAGGTGGAATTCCACAGACATTCAGACTGTTAAGCTGACTTAATGCTATTTAGCCAGCACAAAGTTAGTTCAGAAGTCTGGGTTATTGCAGCTGCTTATATGGATGTGCTTTGTTCCATTAAATATGACAAGTACAGTAAATGTCTGTTAGGTGATACTTCTTGAATTAATAAGATGGGATAAATGTATTGATATTGTCAGATGCTAAGATAATATGAGAGACATCAAGGTACTGAGTGATAAGTACTATAAATGTACCTGTTGTGTTTCTACACAATATACTTTGAAATACTGTATATAATATTATAATCTTGCCTGTATAATCCTCTGTTTTGGACAGATCCTTTGGAAGGCTTAGATTAGCCTTTGTTTAAAAACAGCATAACAGTTCAACTAATCTTAACTTTTCATTGGCTCATCATGCCTTCCCATAAAAAACATTACAACAATCCTTGCCTACTTCTAAGGAGGGCTAGAAAGCTTGATAAATATTTATTAAAATTCTTGGTGACCCTAAGGTATTCATATGTATATAAAGCTACTATTGCATATTATTCTCTTTCTCTGACACCCCCCCCGCCCCCTTTCTCTATTCAATGTCAGCATTTGCACATTCCAACTATGGATAATGGACCTCAGTTAACAACCCGTTTCCTGAATAAGTTGAGTGATATCCAGGTAAGGTGCTTCCTCTTCTTTAATGAGATAAAATAATAAAAGGTGAACATTTGAAAATATTGGAAAATAATATTTTCAATAGTGGTGCTATGGGCACCATTATATAATAATACAGGCTCTTTGGTGTGGTTATTCTATTGGGCTTTTTTCCGCCTTGAGAAAGTATGATATGGATGGAGAGTGATATATTTTTTTCTCTGTTCACCTTGGAAGCTGGATGAGAGTTCTAAGATATTACTGTTATCAGTGAAATCCAGCACTGTTGTTATAGGTTCCTTTTCAAGGGAAAAAATAATATTATGAAGCATCGTAATACCAATGATCACAAATTAATATAGGCTAATCAATAAAGAGATGCGTGAAGTAGTAAGCACTCACTGGGCACAGCCAACTGATCACCATTTCTGTTTCTCAGAATCTTTCCAATCACACGGCCACTACATGTTCTTAAAACAGTTCCTTCCTCTGTGATTTGCTAAATATCAAAGTCTATTTGGAGTCTGTGCTTGACCTCCGTGTCTGGGGCACAGGAGTCAATACCATTTCAGGTAAAGCCAATGAGCAGCATGTGATGGCCCTTCTTATTTTAGTTGCCTGTTTTCTTTTCCTTATTTAGTGTGGGGGGATTTGGGGGTAAGAGTAAGTCTTGGCAAGTTACAAGCACCTTTATTTAAGATCTGCTAGCAGCTGCTTGACAGTATTGTCATGATTTCTTCAAATCAAGTCTGATGGTTACTGTTCTACATTCTTAGCTTTTGGCTCAAGATGTTCTTAGATTTGCTGCTAAAATTTTTATCTTTCTGCCAGTAAGCCCTGAACTAAGAATCTTCTTGAAAGATTGAGAGATGTGCTGCACCACATAGCAACTCTATGAATCCCATAAAATAATCAGAACTTTTTAAGAAAAAGTCCTAAAATTGATTTTTCTTTCTATTTCACAGGCCCTTTACTAGTGTGTAGAAATAGTCTGATATAGGATTCTTCTCATGAGACCCCAAACAAAAACTACTCATGAATTACAGTCTGCTGTCATATGTTGACCCACCTAAAATCCCATGATAAGCAGGTTCATTTATGTAATGTTATTTTTTCAGTGTTTTGTGCTATATTGCAGTCAAACTTTAAATACATTGCTATTCATTATGGGTTTTTTTCATTGCTTAATTGAAGTAGGGTGAAGCAGTCTTAGTCAAGGGGAAGTAAGGCCATCTCATATAATTTCGGCAGTTCTTCTGTACTCTTGTTTCTCTACATATTTTTACCTTTCACAGCTGCTGGTCTCCAGCATAACTACTTTTTTTTTCCTCAGCTATCCCCCCTCCCACCTCCCCCTGCCCAACTTGTAGCTCAGGTGATGCAGCAAGACCGCTTGACTATTCTTCACTAGGAGGATGACATGGGATCAGCATATCTTGTTCTTTAGAATAGTATTGGACATTTCTGGCTGCAACTCAGGGAGGCAGGAATTCCTGATACTCTGGTACCTTTGTGTTGGTGGCTGAGCCATCTTCTATGGGGTCAAAAAGAGACAGTTCCCCATCAGGTTTCTGTTGTTTTCAGCCGTGCCAACAGTAATGGCTTGGGATCTGGGTCATTCTCTTCAAACAGTAGGACTGATATCTAGGAAGAAGCATAAGCTCCTTTGGTGCTAGATTTTATTACTTGTTGTCGGGATGGAGAGGCTTAATATTCCATGTTCCCAGCCCAGTTACACATAACATTTTTATAACTATATAAGAATACAGAGTAGCCTTTCTCCAGAATCCCGCTACATACCACAGTTATTTCATCTTTCTCATCCCAAGTGTTGATACACCTATCTAAAATAACAGTTGGTGGCCATCACCTTTTTTTTGTTGTTGTTGTCATATGTCCAGATTTATTATACACTTTTCATCATGATACATACGATCACTGTTTCTGTAGCTCTCTGTTCTGTATTAAAGCCACCTTGTTAGTACGTCAGGTATCTATCTTTAATGTCTAAAAGCACTGTGTAACTCCTGTGTTACCTTTGGCTGACTAGGTGATGCTTTTGCAATATATGTTAGGGCCTTCAGTAATCTGTGATCCATCTGAATCTCCACTGATCACTTCTAATGGCAGTCATGGAACAGCTCAGCATCAGAAAGAGTTGAGGCCAATTCTAGCACCTTGTTGAATGTTATGTGTGGGAATAGGTACTGCCTTAGCAGTTTGTGTTATGAGTCAAACAAGTGCCTTCTCTAGAAGAATGGCTTGTGAAATCCAGAATTCTGTTTCAGAAGACAACACTGGAACATGAGTCTTTCTCCCTTCGCAAATAAATAGTGAGTGGATTATTAAGACAGCTTTATCCAGCCTGCCCCCTGAGGCTTCCTCCCATGCTCTCCCCAATCACCCTGCTCTTCCATCCCCAACCAAGGCTCAGGAGGAGGCTGAAAAAGTGTGGATTGCTTCTAATCATTATCTTCCTTGGACCTTTTCACTTTACAGCTATGTGTATGGCCCTTTTTTGCCTTTCAACAACTTTCAACCACGTGTTCGTTAGTTACATGCCAAGAGTAAACCCATCACTCCTGGAAAGTGCTAGACTATTATGTATATGTTTACTTCTGGGTTTTCTTCCTTATTTAAAAAAGCCAGGAGAGTTAGAATACTTCATTGTTAGAAACATGATTTTAAAGAGAATGATGGCTGCTTCCCCTTTAAGAGTCAATCAGTGGTTGCTGATTGTGTTTCTGCACTTTTCTATCTGTGGAGAGATGAGCTCATATCCAAATGGACCCCAGGTTGTCATACAGAAAAAATTGCTGCAACACACAAAATGGAATATATAATATTCTTAAAATGTCAGGGGAGTTTTCAGGACCTTACAAAGATCTTTTATATATTCTACCAGGAGCAAAAAAAAAAAAAAAGAGATGTCTTTGCAGTATCACTGGACTATTGTCATATCATTTGGACAGTCTGAGGCTGTTATTCCAAAGAACATTCAAGTTCTGAAGAATAAAACGCAATGGAAATTATAGCCAAACACAGCTTTTGTCTCTGTACTGTGCTATTGCCTGAACTAGGGCGATGTATCCATTTCATGTTGGACAATGGACATTTGTAAAAAAGTAAAAATTCTTAGTACCAACATTGTCCTGCATTTGAACCTGTGACCAAGAGGTACAGGGCTCCAACTCCAATATCATTATACCAATTCCCTTGTGTACAATACATGCTTTTTTAACATTTTAAGTTTATCTTCATTTTTGTATTTCCAAGTCTGTCTTCATGCTGCTCATTGTTCTTTTGCAAGTCTTCTGGGTTCAACAGGATTTCTTTGGATTTGAACAGCTGTTCAGTGGAACTAGAGCTAGAGTGACAAATCAGAAACTCATGGGCAGAACTGATTCCATTTCTCATGCCAGTTGAGAGAGGCAGTAGTAGCACTGAGATATATGTTTCTCTGCCTATCACCAAGTGGAAATCATGATTACTAACAGCTGATAAAGATTTTAGATTAGATAATTTACATCATATACAATAATGGTGTGCTTTTGAATGAATTAGTCACAGTACACTGTCTTGTATAACTGCTTGAGTTAGAAGATTTAGAGGTGAGATTCTTTTCTCTGGGAATACACTCACTGAAATACCACTCAGATGTTTTTGTGATTTTGCATTCCATGCTTTGTGAATAAACAAGATTTTGATATACCCTTTAAAGTGTAGATCAGGATGCAACTTGGAAGGGATGGATAGAAGGTAATATATTGTTTATACTACATCATATAAAATACATTTAAACACCACAGTCAAGATAGCAGCAAACAGACATTTAGTCAAAAACCCTATTTTTCTCAAAGTTGCACAATCTAAATGGGTAGGCCAGCAAAGAACAACCACGGAAGGAGAAAGTATGTGTTAATTTTTACAAAGCAGGACCTGTGGGGGTAAAAAAGAGGGATGGGATAGACCAGCCTGAGGTCACAAAGTCTTTGACAGAATCAGAAAAGGAAGCTAAATCTGCTTTTATTTCCAGAAAGAAAACATCTTGATTGTGGTATAACATCTTCATTCCCCCTTTAATTCTGGAAGCAGGTTCAAACCATAGTAAAACAGCAACTACTCAGACCAGCCCTTGTGACTTCTGAAGCCAGCATCAGGGCATTAAATGATACTACTTCCTAAAGCCAGCAAAACCTACAAATAATCCCCTGGCCTTTGCCTTCTAATTTGGGGGGAGGTGGAAGTGCCACCTTTTCTCTAAGAAGCAGTGATATGAGGGCCAAAGACGTATCTTCCAACACACACGCACACTTTGCCCCCATCCACAGCAAAATTGCCTCCCATGAGAGTAAACCAGGGCTTTGTGGCTAAACTAATCATTCATCTGCTTTCCCTTGGTTAGAGTTCCCAAGGCAAATCTGGGAATGTAAGCTGGAAATCCTTTGAACAAGTAATTCATCCAAGGTCCTGTGTAGCACCATACCAGTGTTTAGTCAACCACATCGCAGACCACAGAACAGAAGCAGCAGAACTAGTAATGAAAACAAAAAGTAGATGTGGCACATGTGGAGGTCATTTAGAGGCTTTACCTGCTGGAGTAAAGAGTAAAACACAAGCACACTGGACATCATTCCTTTACGGATCTAGAAGTGTGTTTTTTCTGGCTTATCCTGATTTGGAGCTGTTGTCTTTTCCCTGCTTTAATGTCCCTTTATCTCCTTTCCTG